CCGAATGCTGTCAAGTGACTGGAAATGTCTTTCAACGTCATCTTTGTAGTATAAAGATCCCTTGAGTTTTCTATGGAAGTTTTGCTTTTTGAGAGCAGAACTGCTTCCTGGGCTAGGAGGACAAGACAAGAGACCAGACAAGAGAGTCAAGTGTGCCCAGTCTTCTTGTATGAGAAGTCTTCCTGACATATAGTGGGATCAACTCTTATCAACACATAACATAAAAATACTGAAGGATTTGTATGTTTTTTCATTTATCCAGGTGAAAAATTGCTGATCTGACATTGGCTCTGTCTGGAGAACACAGCAAGCAGTGGTATGACGGGCAGGATGCAGACACATGTGCCGGGGACCAGGGCAGACCCTCTTACCTGGCCAGGAGCAGAAGGCAATGCAGGTTGTGAGGTAAACAGTGCACCACCTGCACACAAGGACAGGTCCCCTTTGCTGCCCACAGCGTCTCATTAGCTTGCACAAGCTGCTATTCCAGCGAACATTAAGCCTCTTCTTCTCAAATCCCAAAGTTGTGGAAACAAAAATTAACACTGAACACACAGCAGACCCCAGCAGAATGATGGGGAGCCGGCAATGTAACGTGAATCTCTTTGCTCTTGCCATGGAGAGAACAGATACTTGTGGAAAGAAGATATCTTTGGCTCCCCTACAGAGATTGCGAGCTGAGATTAATGGCAACTGTGAAGGCTGCCTTCCCCTTTATACGATGCATGCCTTAAAGCTGTGGCCTCCTGCCATCTTGAAACACAATCTTGTGGTATTGTCTTCATTCAGGCCCCTCGTCGGCAATGTGAAAAGAGAGAAGAAGCTGGTGGCAGGATTAGAGGAGAGGCCGAAATATTCTGGGCAGCATATGCTTTAAGTCACATTGTACAAAGCGTATTATGGAACTGTTGGTTGGCTAAAGCTTTTCCTTTTGGAAGCACTGCTGCTTGTAAAAAAGCCTCTGGTCAAAAGTGTTTATAACTCATCACATTACATGTATGACATATTATGAGTACTGTGACAGGCACTGAAAATATGTTTTAGATCCTGCCTGCCCTGTTCTTAGGAGATCCTTTTGTTTCATTGGAGCTATGTGAGATACGTGGAAAAAGGGGATAAAGACAGAAAATTCAGAAGAAAAATACAAAGGATACCAATAAAAATACACAGATTGTAATTAAGAAGTACTCAAGCATCAGAAATCTGGTAATTCCATATACTTCTTTTAAGAAGGAAAACAAGACAAACTGAAACAAGCCTCATTCCATGGACTCAAAGACCAAAAGCAATCTTTTGACACCAGATACAGTCCTCACTATTACAGCCATCACATCCTACAATTAATCTCCCGTTAGGCAAACTATCTCAAGCCTAAAACTAGCTGGGTACTTTGCTCTTGAAAGGCTCTTAGAGAACCTCGGTGTTTTAGGACTTAGACTTTTTTTTAGTGCCAAGAAATGTGTGATGATTTATAGCCATTTGTTCTCAGGTCACCAATGTCCTTATCTGAATGCCCTCCCCTGGCATATATATGCACAATACATTTACATTGAGCACTCAGGCTTCATTTCATTACGTTAAATAAGCTAATTTCCTCCAGTCTCTTTTCACTTCTGCATTCTCATGGTCACTTTTGCAGTTCTTCTCAGCACCAATTTTAGTTTGAAATGACTTTTCTTGACCACAATAGGTCAAACCGGTGTTGTGCAAGAAATGATGTGGCCTATTACATTTCATATCCTACTGAAAAGAGCCTCTTTTGTGTTCTGTGCACACAAAAGAAAAAAAGTAAAAGAATTTCTCGCCTCTTAAAGCTACTTGGAAAGTCCTAAATGTTCACAGTCAATCTTCCTTGGAATCCTTCAGACATATAAAATTTTCCTTAATGAAACACATCCTTCTAACATCTAAGAATATTAAACATTTACAGGGGCAACTACATCCACTTGAAGCACTGAGCTCAGTTTTTGTGGCCTGTTTGAAAAATCTTCAGCTTGCATCAAACTGATCTCAAACGCTAGTTGCTTTTTTTTTAATTGGCTTTTAATATTACCACCATGGTCAGATATTCTTGTCTTGATGGAAGAAATTACTTTCCTCTTTGGGATTAAAAAGCAGGATATGGTCCTGCCTACAACATTGAGTGCTTTAACAAGTTTTCACAGCTTTCTTTTTGACCTTCTGGACGGATCATCACTTACCCATTTTATTGCAAACATCTTCCTAAGTAGTAACATACATGATTAGGCCTTGCCTCCGTACTCTTTTGCTGACAGAAAAAGGAAAAAAGTTGACTGAAAAAGTTGATGTGAAAGGTACTGAGTGAAAGGTATTTCTTCTCAGAAACTGGCAGCCTAGATAAATGATGTATAATCAAAAACTTACTTTACAATCATAATCATTGTAGCATCATACAATGCAGTTTCTAAAACTAAATAATTCATCTAAAATTGATCTCCAACTTTTAGAAAAATAGAGATTTGTTGAGCTAAATTATTTTCTGAACTCCTGTCTCAATTTGAGTATTTAAATACATGGAATTCTCCTTCTAAATCAAACACGTTACCACTGAACTCTACTTTCAGATTACAGGAAGTCCAAGGTTCTCATTCGAATGTAACAATTCAAATAGTAACAAGAAAAACTTCTTCAAAAAACTTCTTCAAATATATCAATAACAAAAGGAAGGTCAGGGAGAA